GCCGCCACCTCTGGAGAAGCTGCAGCAGGCGCCATCGCCTCTGGGGAAACAGTAGCGAACTCCACTGCCTCGGGAGGTTCTGCAGCATCAGCCGCCACCTCTGGAAACATCATAGTAGGCGCCGCTATTTCAAGAGTCTCAGTGGTGGTGTATGCAGCCCATACACTCCATAAAGCGATCCCCATTATGGGAAGCGCTACAGACGGGGGAATAGGTTCAGGAACAGGAGGGCTAGAGTGAGTGGGTTTGGGGATACCGGCTGCGCGTGCGGCCACCAATGGTGGGTCCTCCACGCTGGATGCCAGTCTGGGATACTGATGAACAGTCCCTGAGGGTCTGGGTGCCACAGACAGGAAGTGACACGACTCTGAGTGAACAGACGTGATGTGACGTGACTCTGGGTGATCAGCTGTGATGTGACCTGATTCATGAAGATCAACTGTGACTTGATGTGACTCAGAAAGAGCAGATGTGACTTGACTTAACTCATGAGGATCCACTGTGACTTGACTTGACCTTTGAAGATTGGCCGTGACTTGACTTGACTCATGCCGATCAACTGTGATTTGACTTGACTTATGACGAGCAGTGTGTGTAATCAGTGCAATGGATGATGGGAACTGTAGTCCGGGTGAAGTGCAACAGTGGTGTGGTGCAAGAGTCCATAGTAGTGGATGGGTGACCTCTGGTGGCGAGCAGACGGAAGTTCATGGACTGGATTCGTGACAACACTACCTGGCTCGGAGAAAACATCTTGGCGAGTATCACCGTTTAGTGCAAGAGCTGCGCCTTAACAGGGAAGATTTCCGTGAGTATTTTCGGGTCTCACGAGAGGAATTTAATGAGATCCTTCAGGTTGTTGGCCCAAAAATTACCAGGCAGGATACTGCATTCCGGAAATCCATCAGCCCGGCCGAACGCCTGGCAATTTGTCTCTATATACACATATATATATATACACATATATATATATATATATATGTGTATATATACCCACACTATTCGGTGTACTTGTTTAACTATACTTATGAGGGCTAAAAACAATTACATAACTTTGTAAATCATGTTAACTTAGACATACTATTATTTGATATGTCATTTCAGTGTTGGGTAAGTTACTCTAAAAAACAGTGTAATTAGATTACTGTATTAATTACTCTCACTTAAATGTATTGCATTACTAATTACTTCTTAAATCCCACATCAACCTCCACCAGTTGAACAATACAAGGATAGACATGAAACTGCTCTTTTCATTCTTTCAAATAAATAATATACAATTGCATACATTTTTTTTCTCAATAAATGTGTAAAATGCGGAACAATATCTGCATGGAAATACATGGGAATACTAGGCTAGATGCTAATTAAGGCACGACAAGGATTTGCATACATTCAGCAAATTTGGCAAACAAAACACACCTGACAAACCGACAATCTCGCTAACTCTCTTCCAAGCCTCATTTTTCCTATTAAAGTCTCTGTATGATTCTAGAGAAGTATCATACA